CCTCCATGAGAAGCAAATCTATGCCTCCTCCCATAGAAGAAAAAAAATGTGTTTTTTTTCTTTTCTGCAAGGCACAGCCGTGTCTCGCGTGAAAACAAATTGGTGCTTCCCCTCGAAGCAAAAAAAAAAACATCAGTATTTTCATTTTCTGCGCATCTCATGGAACGGAAATCTATGACTTCACGAGAAGAAAATCTATGCCTCCCGTGGAAGCAAAAAATTCACATTTTATTCACGCAATATTTTTTGATTTTTCTTTCTCCAAAACCTAGGAAAAACCAGGCGAAAACCATTTAAAACCCGAAAATACATATAAAAAGAAAATCCCGAGGGAGCACCCAAGATGGGCCACGTGGTGGCGGTTGAGAGTGCTCCAACTGGCACACTCTCAGCCCACCAAAGTAAAACTTGCGGGGCTCCCATAAGGGGTACCCCTTAATTAGTTGTTCTTATTTGTTATAGCTCTCGGAGACGACGGGCGCCAAGTTCCTTTTGTTTTAGTTTTCAAATTGGGCCATGGATGGGCTGGTTTACCATGACCTCGGGGTCCTATACTACCGTGTAGTGACCTAACAGCAGCTTGAGAGTGAATTACATCTATTCTGACGCCCTAAAAATCTATTCTGACCCATTCTCTCCATCCACATTTTTAAAGCCTGTTTTAGAATACTATTTGAAAATAAAATAAAATTGGAGGTTGTGGAGCCTACGTGCAAACTTTGATTTCCCAAACTGCAGCGTCCACAATTTTCAACATGTGGAGCCCAGCAGTCATTGGCTTACTACTACTACTACTACTCTGATTTCCCGCCCACTCATGCTACAGATGCACAGAGGGGATCCGAACTCCTCCACCATGAGAACAATGATGTCGATATCACCCACACCGATGAGCTATGGTTGCCACCACTCAAAGGGCTTTCTTTCTAAAAAAAAGATGCTTGCTAATTTGATTAATATTAATATCAGGAGAGCGAAGCCTGCGCCGAGGGCGAGCTCGCCGCCTTTGGAATAGATTGTCTGACATGGAGCATTTGTAGTGGAATGAAGTTATAGATCTTTCCGCTTTGAGCAAACCTGTTACAGAATTTGGATATAAGTTCAGACTGCATCATGCGTTGGTAATTGCTCCTGCCTCTTGGTGCCTCGCCGGCCTCAGCTGACAGTGGTAGCCATCCGAGATAACTCGATAATACTCAGCTTCGGCGGCGATCTCTGCAACAGGGGACCACTTCTGGATTCAGTTGTAATGGTAAATGCCCAAAGGAGTGAATGTACCAGCGAACTGGTCATGACTCATATGTCTCCCCAAAGATTACTCAGTAAGCTAGGGTGTTCTGGATTTTTCTTATTTTCATTTTTGAGGGGAGGGTGTGTTCAGGATATTAGATAATTTCAAGTACTAGCTTTACTTAAGTATGGAGCTGTGATTCCCGTCATCACCAACTAAGATGAGATCCGGGGGTGTACCGTTTCCTTACCAATGATTGGCATTGCTCTCTCGGCTGAAATTCATCTGGAAAAGCTCCAACTTCATCCAGTGCCAACGAGTAATAGCATAAAACTACCACTTTTTTTTTTAGAACGAAGGCTCAAGGGGAGCCCGACTTTGAATTAACAAAGCCATCAACCGACCAGGATTACACAAGGCCACCGAGCAGGAGCGACCGAAAGATACAAGGGAGCTGACAGAGCAGTCTACAACGCAACGCACACTACTGCACACATAGAAATACACATGAAAACCTGCAAGTAATGTCGAAGCCCGCTGCACCTCGGCACCAAGAGCAAGGGAGCAGAGTAGCGAAGGGTCAGCCAAAGACCTGCAAGCACTACGCACAGCCGGATCGTGGGATTGGGATCCCGAAACCTGTCTACCAACGCCGAAGAAGACCCCAATCCTCTCGCCTAGGCTCGAAGGCGCCGCACCGTCGGGTCGTTGGGCGCTCACCCGAGAGCAAGAGCAGGTGCCGGTCGCAAAACTACCACTTTTCGCATTATGGTTCCCAACATTACCAGATTTTTATTTGTCGCTGATAACTACCAGAATCGGCATCGACTGTTTCAAATTGACAATTGCGTGGGCTCAACCTGTCATAATCGCGATCAATTGTAAAACACCCACTCATTTGGGTTTTTTGAAACAGCCAACGCCGATTCTGGTAGTTATCAGCGACAAACAAAAATCTGGTAGTTTTTTGGAACCATAACACGAAAAGTGGTAGTTTTATGCTATTCACTCAGTGTCAACCTTTGCTAGAGTAAAGTGTAAAATGTAAAACGAGTTCAACGAAAGACAAATGCCCTACTGTATAAAATGTACAGTTTTTTACGACAGCCTAGTTTTTCTCTCTTTCGCCCTCAGTGCAACTCTCCTGGACTAACCAAGTTTCATATTTAATAAATATTTCGGTGGGGCATTGCACTACGGCATACAGCTAAAAAGACAAATACAGAGATAATTAAACTATAATACATGGAACATGCCGGCATGGAACAATATAAATTTGGTCCTACCTACTCTTAATATTGAAAATACAAATCAATGTTTTTATGCCCCTTGGACAGTTGACTTGTCATTCTCAAGTACAAGCAGAGGTTTTAGATTGCTAGGAGTGGAACTTGTGTATTCCATATATAGGGCCACTAGGCCAATATAGAGTACAAGTACAGGTACACAAGGACAAATACAATTATACAAGAAGTTTATAAGGATACATGTTAGCAGCCGTGTGTCACCCACCTTTGAACTCATGGCAGTTAATGCTTTGAAGAATTTTTCTATTTTGCAAAGAATTTCTCTAAGACTTGGAAGAGGCTAGCCAATTTGTCTAGACTCTATAGAGACCCACCAGCAGCTTCAATCGTCCGCTGCCTTCTTGCTTGCAATGGAGGCTCCCATATCTGCAGTTGCAGGTGAACTCGTTAGCCATTTCATTTCCTTCCTCATTAACAAGTATCAGTCCTCCTTGTGTCATGCACAATTAGAGGAGGAAAAGGTGGCGGAGACATTGCAGCACCTCCTGATGAGAGTAGCCACCGTGGTCGAGGAGGCGGATGCGCGGTACATCACCAACACCGGGATGATGATGCAGCTCAAGATGCTCTCAGAGGCCATGTATGGAGGACACCGCATGCTGGACATCTTGAGGTACCAAGCAGTGCAAAAAAGTGTTTGCTTTGATGAGGTTAGCAGTAATGACCCCTCTAGCAACCGCTTCTATTTAGCCAAGCGGTCTAGGCCAACAACTGATAAGGTCACATATATCGAGTCATGTGGTGCCTTGGAAATCTTAGGAATTGCTGTTGATAACATGGCAAAATTTGTTGTGCTTCTAAGTGGATGCGAGCACATGTCTCGTAGGCCCTATGATGTTTACCTTTACACTGACAACTTCATGTTCAGCCGACACACTGAAAAGCAGAAGATCTTGAGATTCTTGTTGCAGCACAATGACCCTCCTTGTTATCATGCACCAGCGTTCTTCCAGTCATAGGTAGTGCTGCAATTGGGAAGAAAACTTTGGTTGCTCATGCATGTGGCGATGAAAGGGTCCGCTCGTGCTTCTCCTCTGTTTTGCACTTGAAAGGAGACGGGCTTTTGAAAATACTTGACCATGGAAGTACCATGGAAGGGATGAGAATGTTGATAGTTATTGAGTTTGCTTTTGATATAGGTGATGATGACTGGAAATTTTTTCACTCATTTTTCATAGGAATGGACAGAAGATGCAAGATCATCATCATAAGTAGACTCCAAAGCTTAGCCAGATTTGGATCGGTGAAACCGATTTTCCTAAGTGCTCTATCTTACGATGAGTTGAGGTACCTTTTTAAGACACTGGCATTCGGAAGCGTTGACCCCGCACAACATCCACTATTAGTACAGGTAGTAGATGAATTCGCCAAGGTGTTGCACGGTACACCAGGTGCACTTGTGGCGACAAATACGTTCGCAGATGTCTTGAGAAGGAACCACAATGTTCAATATTGGCGTTGTGTATTGGACAAGAGGAAAAGAATGGTTAAACGAAACCTCTCCATGTATGGTGGACACCCAAGCATGCTTATAGGAGAAGGACATCTAGTGGACATAACGGACTTTGCTTTGTATCCACTTAGCATGACACGTTATACAATTAATGGTTCAACAAAGAAGGAATTGCCATGTCTGACATTTGGGGAACTTATAGAAGATCGTAGTGCTAGACCAAAGCAAGACTTTGTTCTAGTTTCATGGGAATCAAGGATACCCCCACATAATTCGTTTGCTCATTTTGTGACTAGTCATGCTCAGGATACACACGAAGGTGGTGCCTTGTCAGGGAGAAAGCGTCGAGGAGTGTCAATCTAGTTTTGTTTTTCAACTTGTGTAATGTAACTCTTGCAATGTCAGTACATATGCATGTTATATGGGAACCACTAATCCCCATGCACTTATTAGACAACCATCAACATCATCTAATGTTGTAGTCCCAAAAGTTTGAGAGGATGGAAATTAAGAGGGGTGGCTCATGATATTGTGAAATGTTCTTATTATGGAATTGAATATGGTGTTTTGTTAGTGTGTGTTGTGTCGTCCATAGTGACGAGTGGTGTTGTCCATAATTGTATAAATATTTCTTGATAAAAATATGGTGTGGTTATTTATTTATTTTATAATGTTGCATTCCTACTACTCCCGCTACTGTTGCTGCAATCACAAGTTGCCAAAGACTATAAGTCATCACTGACCGGTCATAGTAGTAGTAAGGCCTGACAGTGTTGATCATATTATTGGCGCCCCACTGCGAAAACATCAATGGTCGCGGCTTGTCAATGATGATGTTGTGGTCGCTAACCAATCAAATGGTTTGTAAATATGTTGTCACCACTGACCAGAAAGCACTAGCGGATGAAGACATGCCAATGATATGTTTTGGCCTGCCAGCGCGAACAAACCCATAGTTGTACATCTCACCCAACTGATAAATGCACCCGAACCTAGATTTTGAATCTCAATTTCGTGTACTGATTGAACACCGCGTACGCTACTCCCTCTCTATAAAAAAGTATAAGATGGCTTAGATCACTAAATAATCTAAATGATCTTATATTAAGAAATACAAGATTGTTTAGATTACTATAGTAATGGTCTAAATGATCTTATAGTTCTTTATAAAGGGAGTACCTTTCAAATTTGACGCCTTCAATGTATATAAATCTATACCTACTAATAAAGCATGGTGCAAACCCACACACACAAAAAAAGCACGGTGCATTTATCCACTTTTTCCATCCATTCATCGTCGGAAAAAAACTCTTCTGTCTGAGGTGGTACTAAATTTTTGTGCATCAGTCTGCTAGAAAAGGTAAAATGGTTTGTCGAGAACTTCGTATGTGGGCTACGCGCCCTACGGCCCAGTGGAGCCAGCCCACTTATTTTCCTGCCCATGCAGCAGCCGGAATCTTATTTGCCGCCTGAGCAGATAATAGTTGGAGCTTCGCACAAGGCGCCCAAGACTGGGCTGACCTGTTCTAGTATTTTTCTGTTTTTTGTTTCTGTTCTTTTTCTTTCTTGTTTCTTTTACTCTTCTTTTAGTTTTTTATTTTACTCTTAAAATCTAAATTCTCAAAAATGTTATGAATTTTAATTTTTGTTCAAATTCTTGAAAATGTTCAGAATTCCAAACTGTTATTCCTATTTCAAAAAATTCTCGGAATTTTCTTCTCGTTTCGATTTTTTAATTTTTAAAAATGTTCCCATTTTATATTTTAATTTTGTGTTTTTCAAAGTTGTTCAAGATCTAATAAAATTCATTTAAGAAATATTCCGAATTACGAAAATAATCTTGTTTTAGTGAAATGTTCAGAAATTCAAAATAATGTTCACGTTTAAAAAGACATTTTTCTATAATTCTTTTGAATGTTGAAAACATGTTCCTGTTTTGAAAAAGTGTCCACTAAATCAAAATTTTCAGATGTTTTTATAAAAGGTTCATGTTTTCAAAAAATATTTGTGAATTTAAAAACATGTCCCTGTTAAAAAAAGTGTGATTTTGCAAAATTGTACGGAATTTTCAAATACCAACTCGTAATTTTAAAAATTGTTTATGTTTCTAAGAATATTTGGCAATTCATAATTGTCATTTTTCTAAAAATCAAAACAATCAAAAAATATTTCAAATCTGACGTTGCAGTACGTTCTTAAATATTCGCATTGACCATTGATTAGCAGGACACGTTTGTTCGATTGGCTAGCAACACATTGTCGGGTCTTTGAGGTCGTGAGTTCGATCACTCTCCTGCTGGGACTGCTACACATCCGGCCCATCACGTTAGTGGTCGTAAGGAATCGAAATTGTGACGTCCCATCCAGTACCTCGGGTGGTTAGTAAATGAGCTAGGTTGCCTTTGTTGTATAAAAACGGTTGGTCCTGCTATTAAATATAGGTATAGATTTTGTTTCGTCCTTTCCGCACATTGTTCCTGAATTTTTTTCCGTTTATCCTCCGGGTGGGTCGAACTGGGCCTACTATGCATTTCTTTCTCTATTGGGCGGGCGAGCAACAAAAAAATTGGGCCACAAGGGGATTGAACTATGAATCTTCCCTATTATGCCGATGGACAAAACTAACTCAACTAGTTTGCAATTATGATAGGAATATGTCCCTAGGTTGTTTGTAAATACGGAGATTGTCTGAACATGAGGAAGTTGCCTCGAGAATCTGAGTAAAACGAGAGACTCCATAAATTATTGACGATGATAGCTTGCATTTGCCAATCCTATATATGTAAGAAGTTCACCCCCACTACTTGATTTATCTCAACATGCAACATAGACACCTCAGCATCCAATCGGATCCAGCCACGTCATATCCTATATCCAGCCTATCCACCTCATCAATGGCCAAGTCAGCAATTCTTTACGCGCAAATCAATTAATCCCGTGATGCAATATTCTACTCCTTCATGTGTAGCCCTTCCCTGATCACCGAAGCAACACCTCTTTTGCCTTTCGTAACTGAGGAGCGTTTTTTCTCTTCCACTCCCTATTTCCGGACCATAAAAATCCACCACTAGGCACCAGCTGCATCTCCGCTCCTATCTCGGTCCTTCCATCTTCATCTCTTCGATCTACTCTCGCTGGCCGCTGTCTCGCGGCACAACACCTGCAATCTTGCACCAATCAGTACAAGAGCCGTCGACAACATCTGCAGGGCAGCCGCTCGCTCGCCCGATCGCCACTGCTAGGCTGGACAGTACTCTAGTGTTCTTCGATAGGTAAGTTTCAATGGTTCCCCCGCTGCCTACCCACAAGGATCCTAACGAGTTGTTCTTCGTGGTGAGGACACATGCCGCTGATGGAGGAACAAGGTTGCTCCGGCAGTGGCTTTAGTATGGCGTGGAAGGGCGCTGTATTGTCCAATCACATGTTCTGATGTCGCATGATGCCTACCCTAGCGATATGCATGACCGGACCATGTCTTTCCGCTGAGGAATCAGGAAAAATCTGGTACTGAGGATGCACGATATATACGCCGCGCGTGAGGCGAGCGATGTTGTGGACCAGAACACCAGCTACTGCTACGGTGGGACTTCAAACATAGGAGATGATGGCTGGCTGTAACTGAAAGAAATTATGGGCACATGCCAATAAAAGAGAATATGCTGGTTTGTCTCTAATTAAAAAAAAATGTGAGCACGTGAGCGCTAAAAAATTCAAAGATAATAAACCCTGATAAAGAAGCGCATCATGTTGAACTAGAGAGCTCGGACCCGTGAGGGTCTCGTGCCATTTTTAAATTGAGCTAGTGGCATGTTGTTTTATTGTCCCATTGCAACTCATGGACATGTGTGCTAGTGAATCAAACAAGTGGTTAAGGTCGTCTCCAAGGTCGAAGCTAATTTTCCTCGTCCGAGCGTGTTCAGATATCAAACATGAGCCGAACGATCTCCTTAAAATTCAACCGTCTAGACACTTCAGGCTCCCCCAGATGTAGGTATAGGGAGAAGTGTGGTTGTTCAGATTATCTGCCATGTTATCTCCAACCAATGATTTTCAATTTCTTTTTTCTCGAATACACACAAATGTGCATACTATATTATAAAGATATGAGTGGGGTAAAGAGCCCCTCCAAGTCAGTGTTTACAATTTGTGTACACGACACCACCCTTACTTCCACCTCGCGCATGGCCTAATTTGTTGTTCTAGCCCACATTTCTACTGCATTAAAGAAAGCGCCCGTGTCTCCTTTTAGTAACCCCGCTTGTTTCCACGCTCTTCCTTCCTTGCCTATCCAAAGTAAGACGTAGTTCTCAGACGATGATGCTCCATAAAAAATATGGCGTTGTGATGCTTCCATAGCTCCCACATGGCAAGAATGAAGACTGTCGCTTGGTCTCTGTTTTGCCGCGTTGTACCTCCCTTGTCCGCTCACCAACCCGTGATGCTTTGTCCTCCCGTTGGCATCCATTCCGGCTTGCCCAATGATTGCAGAATCACCGTCCACACCTCTCTTGCAAACACACAATGCAACATAATATGGTCTGTGGTCTTTTCCTCTTGATCGCACACAGGGCATCTATCTTGATGGTCCAGTCCGCGTCTTGCTAGCTGGTCGAACGTCCAACACCTGTTGCGGGCGGCAAGCCATATAAAGCCTTGAGTGATCCAACTTTTGCAGCCATGGCCAACGGGCCTGCATTGCGACATTCATCAACTTTAGGTTCGGTATTCCAAGCCCACCAACCCACATAGGTGTGCAGACTTGCTGCCATGCTACTGCACAGTGGCCTCCACTAGCCTGAGCCTCAACGCACCATAAGAATCCTCGGCAAAAAATTTCATCGCCCTGATGGTCTTTTGTGTCAAGTCAAGTCAAGCATTGTATGCAATGAATCGCACACAGAACATACTTGATAAGAAGCAGCCTTCCACTCCGCGGCATCTTTGATGCTTTCTACCTGGGAAGAGCCCCAGCAAGTTGATCAACCAGCCCGGATAACTGGGCCACTGTCTGCTTAAGTATGGTGAGCGGCAGCCCTAAATACTTGCATGGGAATGTACCGGCATTGCATCCCGTTATCCTCTCCACGAATTCTGTTGTACATCGAATCGGAAAAGCTGCACTCTTGTTCCGGTTTACATCCATACCAGATGTCTCTCCAAAAAGTTGTAGGAGAGAGACACATGCTTGAAGATCCCTCTCATTTGGTCTCACAAACACCGTGACATCATCGGCATACATGGACAGTCCCGTGCTCGCCAGCGGTGTCAACAGATCCCTCGCCCTTGCCATCGCAAACATGCGCTGTAGTGACTCCATTAGTCTAGCATTAGATCAGCAGGCACGCAAATCTGGCGAGCCACACCCTAGCTTGTATGGGTCGCTCGCAACAGCGCACGGCATGCTGGCTCCGGAATTCCCCTGGGGAGATAACTAGTATTGTCGAATCTGAATGTAATCATCATAGTTGATCAATGAAAAGTTTCTTTCCCGCAAAAAAAAAAACAGATCCCTCGCCCTCGCCATCGCAAACATGCGCTGTAGTGACTCCATGACCATGATAAAAAAGCATGGGGGGAATTGGATCCCCTTGCCTCAATCCGATGCAGTTTAAAATCGGCCTTTCAGGTTGTCAATTTCAAATCCTTCCATAGTTTCATATGGAAGGAAACGCAGCTGATTACCAATCTGCTATACTAATTTTGGCAGGTGGATTATCGTATTGGTCATTTCGAATTACTTTCCAAAAAAAAAAATCCTTTTTGAAATGCACGCGCTGTCCAGTGCCCACCTTCAAAAAGACCTATTTGCCTCCGCCGGTTCGCTCCCATTCTCCGCCGCCGCCCCTTTCGTTTCGTCTTCCTCGACGCCCCTGCCCTCGCCGCCTCGGCTCCCTCGACCAACGCCGGCCTCACCGCCCGTCGCCGTCGAGCCCAGTCAAGATGGTGGTCGCCGTGGCGAATGCCGCCGCCGCCGCCGCCCCCACCGCCGTCACGGCCGCCGACGCCGATTCCCCTGCATCCGTCCTGGAGGACGAGGTGATATATATTCCTGACACCTTCCGGTTTACATTCTCTAGATCGACTCCGCTTCCGCTGGTCGGGCGCGATGTTTGAATTTCGTCCGGTTAGGTTTTCGAACAATTTCGCTCCTTTTATTCCTCAAAAAGAAATCTCGAACCTTTTTGTGCGAGATTAGAAAATGCCCGAGGCCAAGGACGAGAGAAACGCCGGCGATTTGAAGCGCGAGGCCACCGCAGATCAGTTACTGAACTCCGTCAGAGAGGACGGCGACGCGGGCCTCCTCGTGACGGAGGTGATGGCCAAGGAGGAAGAGGAGCTGTACCAGGCCCGGCTCAAGGCAGAGGAAGAGGAGGAGGCCAGGAGGAGAGAAGCTCGGAAGGCTTTTGATCCGAACGAGCGGTTCAGCAAGTTGGACGAGCTGCTGACAAAGACACAGCTGTTTTCTGAATTCCTGCTTGAGAGGATGGAGCAGATCACAGATGTATGCTGGCTATGTCTCTCGCTGTTCAGTTTCTTGATCACTACTTCCTGATAGTTATTTTTATTCATCTTACTTGTTGACATTTGTGGTGTTTGCCTGCTGGTCAAGCAGAAAGCTGTTGAAGTTAAAGATGAAGAGGAACCTGTCGAAGAGCAGAAGAAAGGGCGCGGCAGAAAGAGGAAAGCAAAGGCTAAGCAAAAGTACAACGATGTGAGTTCAGATCTCATACATTGTCTTACCTGATTTGTAAATATGTCACGGTGGCTGTCTTCCAGATTATGCAAATGTTTCGTTGTCATGTACTGTCGATGCGCTGCAGTTTGTCTCTATTACCTGCTCAAAGGATTTCGCTTGCATAATTCTGGGGAGGCCACTTGATCTGTTGTTGTCCACTAGTAGCATCCTTCTAGTGTACTACACACATCTTAGTTAAAAGTGCTGTTCGAGTTTTGTTGGAGTATAGCTACTGCTCTCTACACACTAGAATAATGTTGTAAGATCAGCGTTAATTTTTTCCTCAAGATGGATCATTGGTCATTTTCTCTGGTCAGACATTATGTTAACCTTCTGTTGCTTCTCACTATGGTATATAAATATTGTTCAGAAGAAGGCTAAGACAGCAGTCGCAGCCATGCTTACAAGATCGCGTGAAGACCGTACTGCTGATGATAGTACTCTCACTGAAGAAGAAAGGTGGGAGAAAGAGCAAGCCAATCTTGTTCCATTATTGACTGGAGGAAAGTTGAAATCTTACCAGATAAAGGGTATTAAGTGGTTAATATCGCTGTGGCAAAACGGCCTAAATGGAATACTAGCTGATCAAATGGGCCTCGGGAAAACAATCCAGACAATTGGATTTCTTGCCCATCTCAAAGGAAATGGTATGGACGGTCCGTACATGGTTATTGCTCCCCTTTCTACTCTGTCAAACTGGTTAAATGAGTTATCAAGGTAAAGTATCCATGGCTGTCTTTCACTGTATATGTTCTTAGTTTGCTGTCTCATGTGGAGTTCTTGATTTCAGATTTGCTCCATCTCTGATTGGTCTGATTTATCATGGAGATAAAGTGGCTCGGGCAGAGCTAAGGAGGAAATTCATGCCCAAAAAAGTTGGCCCTAATTTTCCGATAATAATCACTTCATTTGAGATGGCCATGTTTGATGCAAAACTTCTTGCTAATTACCAGTGGAAGTATGTTGTTGTCGATGAGGTGATGGAATTTCATCTGCTCCGTATTTTTGTACTTGTATGTTTCTCCCTCATACCTAAGTATTTACACGTCAGTTTGGTTCTTTTTCCAGGGGCATCGGTTGAAAAATACTAATTGTAAATTATTGAGGGAGCTAAGGCGCATTCCGATGGAGAATAAGCTCCTTCTGACTGGGACACCTCTTCAGAATAACCTAGCAGAGCTGTGGTCACTACTGAACTTCATTTTGCCTGATATATTTTCATCCCATCAGGAATTTGAGTCATGGTATGATCCTCTGAACTAACACCTACACTGCTGTCTGCCCCTTTACTTTATGTAGTTTCTGTGCATGCCATTTTTCACCATAGTCTTCATATCCTGGAAGCAATTTTTGTGCTTGCCGCCAATCTTGTGGCCTTTTTTATTGCCTTATATTGATTATAATTACATAAGCTACCTGAATCATCCAATTTAACATTTGTCTAGCTTTCAGATAGTTTGCTCTGTCATTGGCTAGATGTTATATTGATAGTCAAATGATGTATGAATCTAATTGCGGAGATATGTCTGTCTGATCTGGTGTTATGTCATTTGTCAGGATCCGTAAAGTTATAATGTTTGGTCCTTATGAGCGCATATTGTGGTCAACCAATGCAAACAAGCCTGTTGAATTTAATTGAGTTATCAGTTCCCCAGCATATAAACAAATATATGGTGTAATCCTAGTAATTTATTATTCATAGAACTCTTGAAACATCTTGGTTTTTGAGTAACCTGGCAGGGGCACTAAATATTAGCAGATTTTTATCTTGTAGCTTCTCTTATTCATGTTACCTGTTGATATGTTATGTTTGCTTAGTTGTATACCAATGAATTATGAAATATGGACATACTAGTTGAACTATTCGGATGGATTTTGATACCCTAACATGGTTTTTTTTTTTGACTTTTTTGTCGTAAAGATGGTGAGGTTATTGTTGAATACTTCATGGACATCTGTATCATTTTGCCTCTGTTGATCTGATGGCATTTTTATTCTTACAGGTTTGATTTTTCTGGGAAGGGAGATGGGGAACAACAGGAAGAAACTGATGAGAACAAAAGAGTCCTTGTTGTCTCAAAGCTTCATGCCATTTTGCGTCCATTCCTTCTAAGGCGGATGAAGGAGGATGTAGAACACATGCTTCCACGAAAGAAAGAGATAATCATTTATGCTAATATGACTGAACATCAGAAACAAATACAGAATCACTTGGTTGAGAGGACATTCGACAACTACTTGCATGAGAACACAGATATTGGTATGCATGTGTACGCTCATCTCATGCATGTCTTCATGCGTACTTATTGTCCAATCTGCCCATAAGTAAATAACATATGAATGTGACAAGTTTTTGCTATATTGTAGTTTTGCGGAGACCTGGCATCAAGACGAAGCTAAATAATCTACTCATTCAGCTCAGGAAAAATTGTGGCCACCCTGATCTTTTGGATGCTGCATTCGACACAAGCTGTGTGTATCATTGCTCATTGGGCATATGCTAGTTTCATTGCTCTGTTTGATTTATTTTCTTTTATCCACATTGTTATACATTTTGTTTGCAGACTTCTATCCACCTGTTGAAAAGCTTCTCGAACAATGTGGCAAATTTCAGCTGTTGGATAGGTTACTGGATGCTCTACTCAAACGAAATCACAAGGTTGGGCACGTGCAAGCACATTGTTCATGATTGTAATTTTCGGACCTGACATATAGTTCAATTGATATGTTTGTAGGTCCTTATATTTTCGCAGTGGACAAAAGTTTTGGACATCCTTGACTATTATTTGGATACAAAAGGCCTGAAGGTTTGCCGAATTGATGGTAATGTTAAGCTGGAAGATAGGAGGAAGCAGGTAATGTGGCAGTCTGCCAATTTATTACTAGTTTACTGGACATCATCTATCGTACGTATGCTTGTACATACTACATACTGAGATAACTACCACTAACTATGCTAAGAAAGAAGTCTATCTTAGATTGATTCTTCGCATGGCTATAATAGACATGGCAGCCCTGTTTATATAGGTGGGAAACACAACTAAGAACAGAGAAACTAAACAATCATATTCTTGTTTCTACATTCATAGTACGATCCTTGTCCATATATGATGGATATCCGTATTCGGCAGCCTTATGCTATGAATGCAAGTAACAATCAAGATCCTGAAGAATTGCACGATGCTCCTTTATATTTATGCATTGCGTATGCACGCACCTTTCCTATTTGCGCACATGAATAATTTTGCATCTAGCTTGATGAAATAGTGTTGAATTAATTCTTTTCCATGAGCAGTTTTGGATACATATGTGTTATCCTATGGGCATGTTAATTTGACATCCACATTGGGCACATGTGCGGTAGCATAAACATGAGTTTAGCCCACACACCCCTGAATTGGTTCCCAGGTACTGGTATAATTTGCATGGTTGTTCCTAAATTTATTTAGAAAACTGTAATCATGGCAAAATTAGCTACAACCATACATACTGCGTTAGAAACCTGTTTTAGGTATCTCATCGGAAGGAAGAAAACTCGGAGTGATTTGGCAGCTTGTCCGTATCACACTGGACGTGTTTCATTACCCTATTCCAAGGCGGTTTAGCAATTGTGTGTTAGTTAAAAGAATAAAAACAATTAAAAACATATTCGGGCATAACTACTTTAAAACTTGGATTAGATATCTTGTTAAAAGAAAAATACTTAATTTGCAGCTACTAGGTGTCAAAGCTGGATGGAGTTTAACATCCCTCCCAAACCAGCCAGAACGCAAACTTGTGGGGAAAGAAACAGTGGATTCAATGGTTTTATGAACCCTTGTGTTAAATGGGCCTGGCTGGTTATTGTGGAACCAGTGCTCTAAACAATAACATGTTCCTTTATATTGCTTATTTGTTACATGCCAATCCTTTTCCCTTAGATAATTGAAGGCTGTCTATAGATGTTGCCATCTCACTATTTGTTTCCCTGCGGCAGATAGCGGAGTTTAATGACTTGAACAGTGGTCTGAACATCTTCATTCTAAGCACGCGTGCTGGTGGGCTTGGTATCAACCTTACTTCTGCTGATACTTGCATCCTGTATGACAGTGACTGGGTAATTTTCTGTCTATCTGGAGAGTTTGTAGGTGTCGTTGGTACAATGCTTGCCTTCAGTTTAGCTTTCATAGCTGTGGCATGCTGAATTTTTGCTCTGTTTTGCAGAACCCTCAGATGGATTTACAGGCTATGGATCGATGCCACCGCATTGGTCAAACAAAACCGGTTCATGTTTATCGTCTGGCAACATCGAATTCTGTTGAGGTATGTCTAGGGGATGATCTTCAGACTCTTGGCTAATTTTTGTGGCATCAGGGCTCATCTCCTCATTGTCACAGGGTCGGATTATCAAGAGAGCTTTTGGAAAGCTGAAGCTAGAGCACGTGGTGATTGGGAAGGGACAGTTTCAACAAGATGCCGCCAAGCCTAACGCCTTAGATGTAAAAAATTCTGTCTGGAATATAGAAGATTGTGTCCGGTGTACCGTGTAAATTGTCTCTTCAGGGATCATCAAATGCTTGCATGATTGCTGATGTGTTCCTTCTTTTTGTCGAGAACTGCAGGAGGCGGAGCTGCTGGCGCTGCTGAGAGATGAGCAGGGCGAGGAAGACAGGTTGATCCAGACGGATATCAGTGACGAGGACCTTCTGAAGGTGATGGACCGGAGCGACCTGACCGGCCCTGCTGCGGCTGCCAGTGCCGCCCCTCTTGTCCCTCTGAAAGGGCCTGGCTGGGAGGTGGTGCTGGCCTCGAAGAGCGGTGGCGGCATGCTCTCGGCGCTCACCAGCTGAGCCATCGATGGTGACTCCTCGCAATGGTGACTCCTCGCTGTTTTGATGCTTGGGCTTGTTGGCCGCCTAATGGTCGGCAGCGGTTCAAGCTATGTTTTGGTGGGTTGTGTTCTAAGGTTATGCTTGTGCCTTCTTCCAAGCTAGCTAGGCAACCTAAGGAAGATTTTAGATCTTTCAGGTTTTGGTGTAGGACTGCCGATCTTTATTAGTACATGCAGACACATGTGGAGATCGTGTGTGATGGCGATGAAATGCAGTTGCTCCTGCTGTGTTGTGCACGTTGTGCTTCGTTGCAAGAATCTGGAGAGAATGCAGGTTAACTATTTTAATCGTGTTGTCTTTTATTTTTCAGTCTTGCCTAATTACTACTCCCTCCATGTCAAAGTATAGTGCATATTAACTTGCAGTGAAAGTTCATGAATTTTGATGAAGTTTATAGATAAATTATCAAAATTATCAATTGATTACCATTTGATTCGTCATGAAACATACTTTCATATCAAATGGTGATGCAGTTTGGTAAGGGTTGTTGTGACCTGTGATGTAAATACAAACTACAATTTCTAGATGTGTTTTCCATGAGTCAAACACAGATTTTTTTTGTAGAGGACCTTCCTAGTCAGCGGTGACAGTACTATATTTTGGGAACGTCCCTGGCTTTGA